TAAGCCATCGGTAATTCCATATTTTGGCTGATAGCTGCCACGCATTACTCACTTATATATGAATAATAGACTTGCAATATAACAAAATGTATGATCAACACTGTAGAAATACAGCCAAGCGATAATAGTCCGCATGCTTTGGAGACAAGGATGACAATAATAAGACAGTAATATTATAATTGTAAAACGTCTATATGAGAACGACACCCGATATTGTAATTATAATCGTTTGAACTTATGTTAGAAGAATATATTAATAGAACACTAGTGAGACGACCCGGCGTCTAACGGGTTCTTTTTTTTCTTTGTGCTCTTAGAGAAGTTACAGCGAAATACTGAATTGTAAAAGTCGAAATTAAAAAGGGTTATTTTTTTTAAGTGGGCCATGTAATGTTACCTTCTAAATTTCATTAAAATCAATACAACTATGAAAGCTGAAAGAATAATTATTGTACTACTATATGTTGGGACATTAACACACAGCGCCATCTAGTTCCATGGTAAGCTACGCGGCTTGTGTTATGGATACCAGATAGTTGATACACTACATATATAGAACTTTTAAACACATACATATTATAAATATAAACACCCATGACTGGGGTACAAACATTCGTGCTCATCACACAAATGAATGCCCCCAGCGGGACTCGAACCCGCGACCGCTGGCACAGCAAGTAGGGTCACTACAAACTGAGCCAAACATGTCGTCAACTATATATAATTATGTAGCTGGCAATTTTTCTATCATTACTTTTTAAGTTTTTTACAGAATAAATGTAACATATACTTATACTAGCGACTCATTCTTGCCCGCTTGGGTTCGTCCCAAGTCACGTTTTCACGTTTATTAGTTTAATAGATTAGTAAATTTCTCAGACATGAGATATTTTCCCATAGTAAAAAGTATTCTATATGTTGACCCGGATAATCAGATATCATCATACCAAATTTCATCTATAACTATCTAGTGGTTTTCTGTGATGCGTTCCCAAACAGACAGACAAATTTTTTAAAAACTATAGTGTCGGCCTCTGTACAATAATGACTATTACAATAAGATTTTTCAAAAAAAAAATTATGTTCGACAAAAATAAAAAATCGACTCAGAATTTTATTACATAATATCATAACTGCATTTGTACTTTGAAGCCAGAATTTCGAACCCGGATATTTGTGAATATTCGATAAGTTTCGATAAATTCATAATATAAAATCAAGCTAATAAAACCTTATTCATTTTAATACCACTATGTAACAATAAATAATCCACTACTTGATTTTCATGTAGTCATTCTTTGAAACTACATCAAATAAATATATATTTAATTAAAATTTCCAAGCATTGAAAAGCAATACAAAAGAAAAAAAAACGTGTGTGTGTACTTATGTATGCACGTAAGAAGTTATACTTCTTTGGCGTAACAGTACAAAAATAGCTAAAGATTTCATCCCGTGTGTCACAACTCTCAGTTTGTAAAAGGAATGCAGCTAACTTCATCATGTCGCTTTCATCTAACTTCATCATATCGCTTTTGGGCTGTCGGTGTGCGCGCGCATCGTAAACATTTTACTCTCATAATTTTCCCAAACGTGCCAAAATAAATATAACTACAAAATAAAAATTAATAAAATTTAAATAAAAACGCATTAATCTTAAGGCTTTATTGCCCTGTTAGAAATGATGTAAAACAACAGTCGGCAAGTCCTAAAATGTACTACTTAGCGTTTTTATACGTTTTATTTCATTAGGAGCGATAGGATCAGCCACCCACGCGGTGTGCCATAATGACTTGCCATATCAACCTATGGACTGTCGAAGCCAAAAGTTACCGCTACGTGGACTAATAACTGTGACAAATGATTGGATACATCTGATTAATAGTTATAATAGGATGTGTTTTAATCTTCGGATTTTGGATGCTGGCATGTTATGTAATAGGATGTACTGTGTTGTAATAATATGACGTTTTTTTTTTGCAGAATAACGTATGGTGTTATTGTTTTAAAATACATACGTATGTTATTGTTTTAGACATTAAATTATTCAGTTTCAACTAAAATTTAAATAACGTAAAACATGAATTATAACGACTGAATAGTTTTTTTAAATATTATGCTGCTGCTTTTAAATAACAAGTTTCTTTTAAATTTGTTCACTTGAAAAAATACTCGTAGGTAGACTTATTTACATCTTCACACTTTATATGCCGATATAGAGTTTTACACCTATTAAGTTACGTTATGTTTGACAATGTGTATAGACAAAAAAACAAACTAAGCGATAATCTCTGATATAAAAATAAGCACCACTATTTCTCATAAATTAAACGAAATATTATACAAATCTTAAAAAATAATTTTCAAATAATAAAAAAATTCAATAACACTTGTGTTTTTGAGTGTGCGACTTACATTACAGTCATTGCGTAGTGAGCCGAGTTCATGTCTCGGAGAAAGTTATAAAGGTCGCGGTAATTATAAATTATAACAATATGGATAGAGTAGGTGCCTATCTGTAGAATATTTAGGGCATTTGGTACTTATGGAGAAATGGTAAATGAATAATATACTGTAATGTTTTGAATGAATTATAAAACTATATATTTTCATTTCGTAATGAAACATTCTATAAAATCAATACATATAACAAAATTGTAACTAAGCCGAATCTGTACATTAAATATTTTTTGGAAAATCTTATTGAAATAAACATTATTATCGATACAGAGTAGCCGTAGTAGTAGTAGTAGCAGTGGTAGCCCAGTGGTGACGCGCTTGCTTGGGTAACCGAGTGAAGCGGGTTCAAATCCCGGGTCTCGCACCTCTGATATTTTCATGTGCGAATCATTTTCAACATGATTACCACTTGCCTTACGGTGAAAGAAAACATCGTGAGGAAACCTGCATGTCTGAGAGAACCTAGCAAGTTTTCGAAAGACATGTGAAGTCTGCCAACCCGCACTTGGCCAGCGTGGTGGACTATGGCCTGATCCCCCCTCATATTGAAGGGAGGCCCGTGCTCAGCAGTGGGACGTTAAGAAGGGCTGAATACATCGATACAGAGGCCGAATTTATAGTTGTTAGAATTTTTATCTGTCTGTCTGTTACCGCATCACGGGAAAACCACTAGAGGGATTTTGATGAAATTTAGTATGATGGTAGCTGGTTATTCGGGTCAACATATAAGATACTTTTTACTGCGGGAAAATATCTCATCTCTGAGAAGTCTATACTAAACGTTAAAACGTAACTAGGGACGAACCTGAGCGGAGCGAGGGTGAGTTGCTAGTAAAATATATAGAGCAAGAAATGATATCCGCGGCTTCTTAGACAAGAGTTGATTCCCCGTAATAATTGTGTTTTTTTTTATCTTTAGATCTAGCTGTGTTAAAAGTGCGGTTATACGTCATTGGATCGCAGTACTTTTAATCATAGAATATAGAGCAATAAACTTAATAAATATTATAAGAAGAAATTCAAATAGTATAATTAGACATTTAATAAACATATTTGATACATTTATGTACATCAGTATAAGAATTTCATGAAAATAGCCCTAAGCTTTTTTATCTACAGCTATCCAAAAACACAACACAATAAACCTCAATAAGAACGACCTTTATAAATCTCAAAAGCTTTTAAAACCTCGTTTCAAATTAAATATTGAAACAAATATTTTAATTAAATATAGCTCGCACTTGTTCTCTCTTAAACATACCGAAGCTTACAGTACAATTTAATTGAGTTGTTAGTATAATGTGGTTATGCCATGTACGTAAAGTTATGTCGCCAGGTATTTAAGGCCAATAAGGCATTGCATCCCTTGTACATTTTTTGGATTTAACCATTTATAAACCTGAGTTTACATATGTGTAGCAATGTTAGAATCAGATTCATTATTTTATAGTAGACCATTCCAGTAGTATTTTTTTGCGAAAAGCTTTCATCTCACAGGGTATGCATCTACCGGTGATAAAAAATGTTATTACGTCACTGACAGTTTATAAGATATGCAGAAATCCCGCTGATGTATCGTTGTATGTGACCAGGAATAATGAATTCGAAGTTAATTATAAGTTCAATAAATATAATCTTAATATATAAAATGCCCGTGTCACGGTGTCGGTCCGAGATGAACTCCGAAGCTACTTATCCGATGTTAACATATTTTGTTTAAATGTGACTTGTTCCAACTGAAAAGATAAAATAGTTTTCTTTTGTTTTTAGTTTTTTGAAGAGAAATTCCGGAGAGAAAGCCAGAGAAACGGCTACCTTAAGCTTCAAATTCTATCCCCAATCTAATGAAAAAATTTTATAAGTGTGCCACAACAACGCGTGGCCGGATCTTCTAGTTGAATATACTCGTAAGTTTAAGTGATCAATTAGGTATGTGTCACAGTCCAGTTACTAACAGAGCTATACTAACAAATCTCACGGAAAAGACGTAGTAATACGTCAATGTTTTAAACGCGTAAAATAACAATAATAAAAAATATATTCCGTACTCGCCGTTGAATAAAATAAAATAATCAAAAATCTACTATATTTCCCTAACGCTCTGTCATCGCCATTGACGTATAAAAAACCCAATAACGGTCTGTATAAATTAAGAACTGTTAAATATAATAAGGAATAATAATATGGTAATACAAATAGCGTGATAGATGCAACATAGTTTAGGATTTTTTTCTAGTCGCTTCTAATTTGAATTTCAAATCATCTTCAGCAAGATTGACTGTTTCTGCTGACTCACCTCAAGGGTTCTGTTTTGAGGCTTCAACCCGTTTATAATAACCTGACACTTTTGTGTACTGCTTGTTAAGTTAGTTTACATCATTTTTTGAGAAGAAGAAATATGTAAAAATACAGCTTTATATGCAAAATTTATGACAAAAATTTCCTAAAAAATAGCGATTTTCATTAAAAAGTATATAAAGGTCATTCAAGCTTCACTCTTTTTTTGCTATAAAAAACTTAACTATGGAAATATAGTCTTAGAAAATAAATAACTCACCAAGCATTTTACTTAAATCAGCATTATGAAGGTCAGGATTTTCATCGGCCAGCTTCTTCCGTTCCACCTTCGCCCACACCATGAAGGCGTTCATGGGTCTTCGTATCCTGGCTTCCTTTAACGCTTTGGCTTGTCCCATTTTTGTGGCAAAAGGGGCTCTAGCATACTGCTGAGATGAATAATCCCTTGAAGTATCATACGGACTTCTGTAATCATACTGCGCTCTGTAATCCAGTCCATACGGCAGGGTAGACCAAACCACTAGTTCAGGGCTGGTAGGGTCTTGGACTGAGTCGGTACTGTTCTCAACTGCCCCTTGGACGTATTGCTCATAGCTTCTATGGTAGGTGGGTGGGGATTCAATGCCTGCTCCTCCTGAATCCATCATGCTGTAAAGAAAGTTTGTCATTAATTATTACTATTTGTGGTGGATTCACAATTAATAAGTGAATTGAGATTTAAATAAAAATAATTTCCCTCTGAAGAAACTAAAAGGCTTAAAAATTACTGAAAAATTAATTCACTCAAACCCTTTTAAATAAAATTGTCTTTTCGTATATAATATGTTTCACAGCAATGGTCACGGAACGTCTCTCCCGAAAAGATACTTTTATTTAAAATGTCAAATATTCGCGTATATCTAAGAAAGTATCACTCAAATCCCTTTAAATGCAAACGTTCCATATTTTGAAGTCACTCAAAAAGAATATTTAAAAAAATAAAACGATGGTATTCAAAGAATATATGAAATCTGACAGTATCAGTTTGCCAATATCATGAGTAGCGAGAACATAACGATATCAGGAAATGGTGTAAGTTGAAGCTCATCGTTATGGCTAATCGATCACCGATATAGGAGCTTAGCTACTAAGTCTAAATAACCTGTGGTAAATTTTATATATTTAATGTTTTAAATTTGTTTAAAGCAGTGATAAATATATTTATCACTAGCGACTCACCCTCACTTCGCTCGGGTTCGTCTCTAGGTTGATTCCCCACACAAACTTTCATCCCCATTTTCACCCCTTTAAGGGATGATTTCCGGGATAAAATGTATCCTATGTCCTTTGCAGGGTCTCAGACTATCTTCTTACTAAATTTCATCTAAATCGGTTCAGTAGATCACCCCTTACAACGTCACAAACTCACAAACTTTACCTCTTTATAATATTACTATAGTTCAAGTATAGTTTTTTTCACTATTATTCATTAACAAGACTGTTAGAATAATTAGTATGATTTACACGTAAAATAATTTCAAAATCAGCAAACAATATATATAAATCTAATAATAAGTAAATATTTTTTTTAAATACAGTCTTTTCAGCGAATATGATCTTATATTGCAAACTCAACTGTTGTTTGGGGTAGAGACATCATGTTGTCAATGCCTACTAAATTACCTATAGATAACAAGCAAGATTATCCTCAAGTGACCCATTCGCATGTAATAAATATTAATTTAAATATTTTCTCTACTTTGAGTGTAGGTAGAGTGGACCTAATTAAAAAAATAAGAAATACGTATATTTCCATATACATACTTTTCATTAAAATTATTTTATTCTCTTTAATTTTTATAAGTATATTAGTACAGAATTATAATAAATATGTAGTTTTTGACTATTATATATGAAGAACAATGAAATAATGTTGTTTTGTTGTACGAAAAACCTTTAGTTGACTCTACATTTGCTCCCCTTAATAAAACATAAATTACTATTCCAGTATAGATTTCAAAAAATGAAATTAATTTATTGAGAGGACATTACAATGATGTAAATTATTAATCTGACGCGATTTTTCATGTTCAGAACACCATGATCGAAACCATTAACGTCAGACAGAACCTATAAATTCTATGGTAAAATAAAAATATTTTACCATAGAAAATATGAATGATATAATAAAAAAAATGTCGTGATTATGCATTCTAGGAATAGTGGCCACACACTACTTTACCAGTAAGCATTACCACACATAGAGTAACTCGACGCGATTCCAAATTTAAAGGAAAGTACAGTGTAACTGACACCGCGTTTTCTCGGAACGCCGTTAGAGGCGCCACTGTGGGAATTGCACATTGTTGTTGCGATTTCACTTGGTTTCTGAAAGCTGGTGTTTTTTATCAAGCTGCCATCCGACATATCTTTGCGTAAGTTTTAATTTTTTTTGCCTAAGTTGTAACCAATTCGGTTCTCGAGTGAGACAATTTGTTACGAGTATAACCTACAGGTCATAAAATACTATACAAACTACCCTACAAATACCTATTGTAAAAATAATTAAATTTTATCGGTAATGGCTTCAAAGCCGCCAGTTAAGTAAATTACTTCGCCAATGTCACGTTGAATAGAGAAGATACGAAGGGTATTGGTCGTACCGTCATAAACTATCGACTTCTTATTATTCATAGGTTATAATGATTTGTAAATTCTCTAGCTCAACAAAGACTTATATCGGAAGTAGTGGATTTGATTTCCTTATGTTACGATGTGTTGTTATTTCTAGATGATATAAGATCCCCACTCATTTTAGTAAAATAATACAGATAACGAATGTTGAGTTGCAAGGTTCTTAATAATAATTAGAATTAATGTTATACTGTGGGCGCACCTTAATTAATTTTTTAATTTTTTATTATATCAACGTGAACAATGTACACTAAATAGAAGGTCTTCAAAACATTTCTCAGATTAATAAAAATGTGTTTACGAAAACTTGACCTCGTTCGTATAGATACTAAAACGCTTTTGCCTTTACTACATACTGTAGAAACGACAATCTCTTAGACGTCACATAACATCTGAAAGTTATGTTCCCAGCCAAGTGAACTTCAACCAAACTCAATCAATGCTGATTTATTAGTAATACACTATAAGATAGGATGATTATACGTTCGTTAAAGTTGGATTTAGATACAAACTTTACAAAGTTATATATTTAAGCACTTAATACTGTTTAGTAAATTAGTAACTTATAGTGTACTTAAACTGAGAGTACCTTGTAAATACCCGTACGAAATATGTTAATATTTATTAATATTTGCCGTAACTACTTGTCGTGTCAGTCGGTAGAATAAAATCGATTGCCTGACGAAAGATAGTGTTAGATTTAAAAAAGGACGATTAAAATAGATTTAGAAGAACTTGTATGTGTGTTTATGTATATTTTAGTATGTCTCGAAAATATTGCATTTTCTTTTGTTTGATTAAAAAAATATTTTTCATATATATTTGATTTCGATCTCTCGGAGTTCGAATTGAAAAATGTACTTGTCGAATTTATTCAATTTATGTTATTTAATAACTTATAGTTTCTTTTAAAGGAACATATGATGTCGTTTATAGCAAAAATAGCTTTTTTACACAACACACACATATTTTATTTACTATAGCACAGATTTGACAGTAAAAATCAATAATTTTATTTATACACAAATAAGCAATTGCACACATCTAGATTTCATTGTTTTTCTCGTTATTCATGTAAACATACATAAGAGCGTGATTGTGTATTCTAGAAAGAATTCCTCACTATCTAAACAATATCGTTGAGAATCTGTAAACTATTCGATTGCTCATAAAATCTTATTACTTTTCTTGGCTTGAGACCTGTTTTCTTGAGATTACGAGACAATAATATAGTAAACACTAGACCTTGATAATAATTATTTTTATTGATATGATTTATTTTAAGATAAGCCAAAATTATATTTTTATTCTAGCTGTCAAAAGCTTTAGCATTTTTATTTATGAAATATATAAAAATATAATTTTGACAACGCAAATTCGTGTCACACATTAATAATTTCAATACAACATCCTAGTTACAAGTAAAATAACGTGTAGTTTTTGTATGTATGATAATTCCACTTCTGAGGGTTCTAGCCTGTTATTCTAGATAGTCTACCTTTCTCCAAAAAATCTATCTATACATATAATAAAATTCTAACTGAGTCGAATCTGTATATTAAATATTGTTTTGGAAAATCTTATTGAAATAGTCTTTTTTATCGATATAGAGGCCGAATCTATAGTTTTTAGAATTTTTGTCGGTCCGTCTGTCTGTTTGTCTGGGAATGCTTTACGAGAAAACCACTGGACAGATTTTGATGAAATTTTAAATTACTTTTTACTGCGTGAAAATATCTCATCTCTGAGAAATCTATACTAAACAATAAAATGCATTTTTTTTCAAATCAGCTTGAGTAGTTTCATATATAAGTGCCTTCAAATATTCAAACTGCACTTGAATATTATAATGAATGATATTGGTATAGAATAAAATTATTCAATATTACATCTTTTTAGGTAATCTTGCCAAATTAATAAAACCCATAAAATAAATTAATTACAAAATCAAATATAAAGATCATCGATTCTTCACTAACGTGTGATAGCAATATTTTCAAACACCCAAGAGTTGAGACAATGGCCATTGTTGCACTCCTCGTCAGCATTCGTACGAACTGTAGCTTTTGCATCCACAATCGATTTGATGACTTCCTACTTCCGAACGTTAGGTTTTAATTTACGAAATGAGATGTGGAATGTGACTCATTGACTCTTAATGGGAAATCGATATTGACCGATTTTGAATGTGAATTTTCCAACAAGCGATTGCCCGTGGCTTTGTCTGCGTAGCTTATTTTTTCCTCGCTGATTCATGAGTTTTAAAAACAGCGATAGAGTGCCTACCTGTTTTTAAAGTTATACTTCTTTTGGGACGTTTGGAAATAATTAAGAGAGTAAAATTTTTACGATGCGCGCGCACACCGACAGCCAAAAAGCGACAGGATGAAGTTAGCTATAACTGTTTGTTGCTATGGTAACCGTTGTTATTGTCTGACAAATGATATTTAATTATTTTATTACTTTATCATTCCTTTTACAAACAGAGAGTTGTGACATAGGTGATGAAATCTTTAGTTATTTTTGTTTTGTTACGCCAAAGAAGTATAACTTACGATTTTTTTTAAACAATCAAAAAGGAATAATTTATTAAAGAACAGTGTTAGTTTATGTTCAAGTCTCGACACTAACTAAAAACTCAACGATACTTACTAAGTATCGTGTGAAATGTTCACTGTTAAGAAGATATTAAAGACAAATGAGAAAGCACCGTTGCTTTTACATTTAAAATTACGTTCCGACTTTTATACATAGATTTATATTAAAGAAAATTTAAATAAACGCAGAAATATAAATAATACCTACGTTGTGTTTTCAAAATTTCTTTATTTAACTTAGCTACAAATCGTAAAAGATATATTAAAAACAATATAGAATATTACATTGATTAGGTACTCTTCACAAAACAAGGTTATTTAATTCATTTAATTTTTTTTTTAATTTATTATAATACGAAAAATATATTTTGGCTCTTT